GTGACGCAACTGGTGAGGGTGTGTGCGTGTGTGTATATATTTTTATATATATATTTTGTTTGTTTGTTTGTTTTGTTTATTTATTTTCACACCATGGAACTTTTTGACCTGTCATATTCCATCTATAAACCTGACCACTTTCTCTGTTGGTGTTCTTACGCATATTCATATGGCAAGCATATAACACTACGGCTATGTTTGTACAGTTCACCCAGGTCTGAGTATCCAAGTTAGCTTTACCCAGCTGTGAATGTCCCCTCTGCCAAGCCCTACCCATGGTGCTGTGTTATGACTGTCTGGGGGAATATCTCATTTTTCTTTGTGCTGAGATGATCTAGGATTCTTTCCCAGACAATTGCAGGAAAACTATCTTTTGGGGGGAATTGTGGGAAGGGCATTAGAGGACTATCAGGACTTGAATGGTTTAGCCTACATCCTCACTGCAAAGAGGGTGGGCTCCTGCCCAACAAAGTGGAGCCCAGGTTCTAACCCACATTCCTAGCTGGGATAAGCTAGCCAGGGCTTAACACACCTACAAACCCAGTGTGGACAGTAGGGGGGATAAGGCTAAAACCTGGGAAAGATCAAGGGGTAGACTACGCCGCATAGACATATCCTTAAGGGGGTGGGGGTGGTTCTTCAGCAAACATTAAATTAAATATAACAAAAATTAAACAATTTATTTATAATTAGTTAAACTGTAAGTCAATGAAGAGAAATTTTGCATATGATTACACCAAATTCAGGAAGGAAGAGGTCAACCTTCTAGTTCCTAAACAGCATCAGCTGAACAGTATTTAGACATTGGATTGAAAGAGTCCACCATCACTTTTTGGAAAACCTAGATGAATGAATTTATAGTCACTTAGACTATTCATCACTGCTATGATTGGCATCAGCCTTTTCTTCTTTCTGAGAAGAACAAAACACAGTAATTCATTTCCCCTATGCCTACTTGTACTTTACCAATTGAGGAGACTGGAGTCTCCTCAGGGAGGTCAAGCACAGTGTTTGAGAAACCATGCTCTCAGCAAGTTTAATATTAGACACATCTTATAGCAAACATTAACTGTAAAGTTAGTCTTAAGATGAACAATGTTCAATACTGTGTGTAATACAATCTTTGTTGTAATGCAATACTCTTATTTGATTCTCAGTGCACTAACTGGTATTAAAATACATTTGTAATAGGGTTAATGGGCAGCATCCTCACACATGGGTTACTATTTCTTCATTCAGAGATGTTGCACTGTCCCTCTTCATTCCCTCCCCTACATGTCTATACTCATTCTATTGCTACAAGGATTTCCTTATGTTCAAGCTGCACACAAACTTCTTGCAAATGCTCATCAAAAATGCTTTGAATGTAGGCCACCATATAGACAGGAGTAAAAGGCAAAAAAAAAAAAAGAGTGTTCTAAAGGTGAGCCAGCTCATCCCTGCAAGCTGACTGATCTTCCTTAGAACGAGCTGATAACTTCTAAATGAGTCCTGCATGAGTGGTTCTGTAGATTAAACAAAAAACACCAAACACAAACAGGCTAGTCCACTTTACCATTTTGAGACCCTCCCCACGGCACAGCATTTCATACTTCTGTCTCTCTGGCAGGTAATCTTTGCTTGGTTCCTTTTTCTTAGTCTTTGATTCCTTGTCAGTCTGGTTATCGGTTTTGGTAGTAGACTTATTTGCTTCTTTTTCTTTAGACATGATATATTCGAAGTATTTTAAGTTACCATTTGCTCTCTGATGTTCAGGATCTAATGGAGAAGAAAGGAGAGGCACCACAGATAAGTTTGCAACTTGTAGAAGTCAACCTGAAAGGGCATAGAAAAGCAGCTCCTTGAAAAGAAAAAACGCTGTTCATTTTGGGACAGATGTTGTAAAAATTAATGCTTAGTGAGCCAACATGCTTACACAGTTAAATCAGAACAAAAATATAGCTGAAAGCCTGACCCAATTCAATAAGTGACAGGTTGGAATGTAACACATTTCTGTATTCTCATTGCTCAGGGAAGCAGAGAATGGGCAAGGAAAAGCTTAGCTTAAGCCAGCAAAATCCAAGGAACTGACACCTCCACTGGAAGCAATACTACACAGCAACAGTTAAGAGATAGAATAAACTTTAACTGGTCCATGGGAGAGAGAGCCTGCAAGACTATAGAGGGCTGGTCCACACTAACCCCCCACTTCGAACTAAGATACGCAACTTCAGCTACGTTATTCACGTAGCTGAAATCGAACTCTTAGTTTGAACTTACCGCGGGTGCACACGCGGCAGGCAGGCACCCCCGTCGACTCCGCGTACTCCTCTCGCCGAGCAGGAGTACCGGCGTCGACGGCAAGCACTTCCGGGATCGATTTATCGTGTCTAGACAAGATGCGATAAATCGATCCCAGAAGATTGATTGCTTACCGCCGGACCCGGAGGTAAGTACAGATGTACCCAAAGGGACACAGAAGTGAGGAGGTTATGGCTGCAATGTCCCATCAGGAAAGCCAACAGGGAGAGAGTTGGGCCAGGAAGACTGACAGCTGACAAAATGTGTCAGACAAAACTGCTACTTTAACAAGCTACGCCAGCTCATTCCTCCATTTACCAATGAAGGGGTTTTACTGCTGTGAAAGGAATAATTCAGAATTAAGAGTAGAACATCCTCCTTTAGGCACTCAGATACCACACTAATGAAAATGACAAATCCCTAGATATACTATGCCATTGTGCTTAAATATCACTAGGCAAGCCATTACTGGATTCTATATTTGTTGTCTTTCAATGATTCCAAATCAAAACTGCTCAGTCCGCAATTTAAAAGATAGTTTTCATGGGCCAAGTCTGTAGACTCAATATCGGTTTTTTCAGCCTCAGGTACCATTAACAAGAGAGATCCTGCATTCTGTACTCAGGTTTAAACAATTGGGTTTATGTACACGTAAGAACAGAATTCATCTATAGGAAAGTGAAGCTATACTGACTGTATAACTAAGAGGAATAAAAAGACAGTAAAACTAATTTTAGACAATATAGAAAATAAAGAGATGACTGAACATGATGTTCAGATACTATAGCAATGAGAGCGATAGGAGTGCCTAGAGAGAAGGGATCTATACAAGAGCAAGTGTTGAGCAAGCTGCTATTTTTACATAGTACGTTAGAACAGAACGCAACTTCTAAATGCTTAAACATGCAGTCACTGACATATCTTGGTTATTAAACATTAATTTGATGCAATATTGCTATGAAACTAACACATTAATCAATTTTTAAACCTTTGTAGCTATGCAAGGCCAAAATGGATTATAAATCAATTTATAAAAATACATTGGGGTTTTGAATGCCAAGTTTAAGAATACAGCATGTTTGAGGCCAAGTTTATAATCCCTGTAAAAAGAGTTTTAGTCAGTTACTTGCATATTTTTCTACATTATCATTTGTATTAAAGGAGCACCCAAATGCTTCAACGACAATCAGGACCCCCTAGGGTTGCCAACTTTCTCACCGAACAAAACCAAACACCTTGTCCCGCCCCTTCTGAGGGCCTGCCCACTCACTCCTCCATCACTTGCTCCCCCCTCACTCACTCATTTTCACCGGACTGGGGAGGGTCCCTTTTCGACCGAGTGTTCACTTGAAAACTGGACACTTGGCAATTCTCCACTGCGCAAGATATTGTACAGCCACACAGGAAGAGATTCCATGCCAAAAGAACTTACAACATAGCGGGAACTGCCCAATTCTGCTAGAAGTATGTGTCTCTTCCTTTAAGGATGCAATTTTTAATTTACCCTTCTTGAAAGCAAATGTATGCAAGTAGTAAAATTTAGGCCAAAATAGAAACAACCATTCCCCCAAATGCAAACTCCTATCCAAAAAATGAACTCAGATGTACCTCAAGCAGTCAGTTTCATGTTACAGATCATTTCTTAAGACAGGCATACTTTTGTGGCCCTCCTCCCTTGCCAAACCAGTGCGGATCACAACATCCTTGCAGCAGCTATTATTATTTGAAAGAGTAATATTAGGGAAGATTATTTTCATCATCGTTTAATACAATGGGTGTAACTGCTTGATTGGATACCTTCCTCACCCATTTTATTTTGGCAGAAATTCACCTGTATGACAGAAGCAGCCACCCACAATTACTCTGCAAAGCAAAAGTAATCTACAGACCATAATATGAAAACTGCTATATCACAGAATTTCCTTACCAGTTTTACAATATATTGTGGATCTAGTCTCTTAACAACATACCCAGCTCAAGAAGTCGCTTGGTGAGCATCATTGCTTTGTCCAGGTCCCCCTGCTGATACACAGCATAACTCAAATAATCTAGAATGGAGACTTTGTCAACAGTAGACACCTCTCCATCATCAAGCTGTTTCAGAGCTTGCACCATCCATAGCTCAGTATGATAGTAGTCTGCCTCGGTGTATGCAATCTTGCCCAATTCAAAGCAATCTTCGGCTGTTAAAAAAGACTTGTGCTTTACACCTATAGAAAGCAAGAAACAAAGTATGTAGGATTTGGAAACATAATATTCTGAATTTTCTTACTACCCACTGAACAAATTCAATTCTGTTTAGTGCTGGCACCCAGAGTTTAGAATGTACTTACCTTTGCATCCGAAGAAGTGAGGTTTTTATCCACGAAAGCTTATGCCCAAATAAATCTGTTAGTCTTTAAGGTGCCACCAGACTCCTTGTTGTTTTTGTAAATACAGACTAACACGGCTCCCCCCTGATACTTTACCTTTGTTAGTGGCTATATTGTTGAATCCTCAGAAGTTAAATCCCTGGAGCATCAAAGTCCACATAACAAAATGCATATGCATTGAGATACATAAAATTTCTCAGTGACTAGTCACTGACAATTCTACAAAGGTTTTTATGACTGAAAAGCACATTATGCAGAAGCAATATTGACCTAAATCAATTTAAATATATTTTCTTTTCTACCAGTAGTAGTTTTAGAAATGGTTCAAGCATTGGTCCTAGAGCCTGGGTTAGGCACTTTCCATATACATTTTATTTATTTCAAAAGCTTGTCTGTGCACATCTTGTTAGCAACTGGCAAGCTGATGAGGGAGAGAAAGAAGCATCAACTATGATAATCAGTAACTACACAACTGGTAAAGGTTATGAAGTAACTCATGTTTAGAAGCAGAGTCTAAAATGGCCTCTATTTGAAAGTTTAATTTGAAGTCTTTGTAAGTAAATTACAGGTTTCTATTTTTGCCACTGTAATTCAGGGCCCATTGAAGAATCAAACTCTGTCTTGTAAAAAGGGAATAGCAAATATTTGGAAATACAGGGTGGAGTAAAAGAAACACTACAGAAAAATGCAGTATCCTTCATTGTCCATGACATTGTATCAGCTTAACTGCTTTTCGTTTACACCTGAAGTTAAAGTAATCATGAACATAAATTATGGATTTCATTGTTTTCTATTCTTCAACACTTGAACTCTTCCCTGCAACTTCTCAAGGTTGTGTTCTAACAATGTGATTTTCTGGGGTAGACAAGCCCTGAGAGACTAACCTGCCAAAAGAATGAGAGTGGAAAAAGGAGTTCTCTCCAGCAGTGCAAGATCATTTTTCCATTCACTGTAACTAAACCCGAGATGAGCTTTTTCAGGGTTTCAGACTAAATATGTTGTGCATTCAATTTCTTTTGTTTAAATCGGATCTTCTCTTCTTACTAAGTTTTGTTTTTAATTGAACTCTTGAGTTTTAGATGGTCTTGAGATTTCATGCAAACTGTCCCAGAGAAGTTAAATGACCTTCAGCCTCTTCAGCCACTGCAACAGAACATGTGTGGCTGGCATGGGTCAGCTGAGTCATGGGGCTCATAGCAGTTCAGTCTCAGGCTGGAGCCCAGGCTCTGGGACCCTCCCTCCTCATGGGGTCTCAGCCTGGGCTCCAGCCGGACACTGAATATCTACCCTGTAATTTTATAGCCCCTCAGCCCAAGCCCTGAAAGCCTGAGTCAGCTGACCTGGGCCAGTCACAAATTTTTTTTGCACTGTAGACATACCCAAAAGAGAGGTAGCAGAGGATGGTTGTTGGGAACCTATCCACTTGGGATTCTTTGTCAAAAAGGGCACAGCCTCAGGCATCCTCTCCCATAACATTTGTTGCTTGTAGGTCTGATGTAGATGCTCAGGAAACTTAACATCCACAGATGAGAACTAAGTGTAAGGGGCCCTATATAAACAAAGTGCTGAGCACAAGGTCTACATTCACCACACAAACAGCACTGATAACTAGACAGATTTATTTGTGTGGCAGGGAAATTATACAGTAATTGTTCATTTTGTTACAGAAATAGCCAGGGCAACTGCTTAGTACAAGATCAGTTTAAAAAAAAAAACCCAGCAAGGTCTGAAATGCAGAAGATCGAAAAGCAGGAGAATTAGGTAAAGAGGTAGCAATGTTCAACTGAATTGGAGAAAGTAGAGAGATTGTGGGGGGTAAAACTGGATGCATTAAGTGACTGAAAATCATACAGAAGACAATTAGTGACCAAAACAGATAAAATACTAGAGATTTAGAATTCCATTAGTCCTGGAGACCAAGAAAACTAGAGAATTTTACTTCTAGAATGAAAATTTGACTGATCAACAATTATGATGGGTTCAGATGCAATTTTATCACAATACTATTAAAAAGCAGAATTATATTACCAGGCAGCACAGAGTTTGGGCTGCACAGGCTTGCTTCCAAGAAAGACAGAATATGAAAGAATATGGTCCATAAATTCACTTAATTTCTTATAGAAGACAACAAATGATAAAAATCTGTGTGTGGGGGGGGGGAGGGGAGAGTCAGATCTTGAAAGAATAGTCAAGTTTAAGATTAACAAAACACAGAAAACAAAATTACACTTTGCAACATTAAAGCCAATCACTCCCAATGTTATTAGGCATCTGAACATGAGAGTTTGTGAAAACATAACATGGATTGTGCAGTGCTTATTTTTCCCCACAGTTGCTAAAGGACTGTTTTAGAACAGAAGGAGAGAGAAACCAGTAGAGAAAGTTAGGAACTTTAATTTAATTTTCTTCCCAAGGGACAAACTGGCTTTTCCTGCCTACAAAACTGTTAAAGATTATTTTAGCTAGCTTTGTATGAGTGCAAGTGATTATGTATGTTTTCCACATGTTCCCTGTCGCTTGCTCTTAATGTTTATACACTATATAGCTTCAGGCAATCCTATGTCACTTAATTTTTAAACTCTCAAAAAACAATCCTTCTTATAAGTGGGAGGGAGAGGGGGAAGGGGAAGGACTATACAACAGTGTTCTTTTTTACTAACATGTATTCCACTGCACACATGCAGTTACAGAGTTTTAAAATACAGCTTGCTGATTACAACATTTAAAGTGAACAAATAAAATAAACTCACTATTAATATCTCATTCCTGTTTAATTTTTTTCTTTAACATTACAGCATGAAATACTCTAACAATAAATGGAGAGAATTGGCATATTTTAACTGTCCATGATTAGTGCAGTGATTTGTTTACCTACTGAACTCAGTTTTCTATACAAGCCATAGGTTAAAGGCTTGCATTAACATAATAGGAATATTTATCCAGCCAAGTGTGCTAATTCTGTGGTATTTTAGAGAGGCGCTATAAAGTGGACTTACAAATGGAAACTCACTTGCAACTTTAAATATTGAGCAACTAATCTTGCTCTAGGAGAGAAAGTTCAGCTTTGCTTGATCACAGGCAATAGCTCCATCAGAAGCCAAAAATATGACAAATAAAACTACCAGATACGTATCCTTCCTACGTACAAACATTGACTTACACAGAGCAGGCTAGATTCAGTTGGAGTCTAATGCCAATTTTTGCTATTCTAAACCCAAGCACAAGTTCCTGGCAGCAGAAAGCCCATCAGAGGAAGAGAAAGTGTTGAAGAAAAACGGCTGCAACACACCCACTGCCAAAGAACTGAAGGAAAGACCAACACACCCAAAAAGTGAGCCTTGGAGCGAATGTGGGTGGGACACAGTGTTTCAGCACATCCCTCAGCAGTTTTTGCTGTGTCCCTCCCCACTGGAAAATCCCAAGGAAGTGCTATGGTACCAGTGCTCATCTTGCCTTGAGTAGAGTGTTCTCTAGGGTACAGGTTTACACAGGGAGATGTGACTCAACTCCCTGCAGCAGTTCAATTAAGCTGGCCCACAGCACACAAGTTTATATAATCATATACTGGCTGAAAGCTAGGAAAGTCTGGGGTTTTTTTCCTACTGTTAACAGCATGCTAGGCGCTTTACAGACAGGCATGAAGAGAAGACTTCTCAAAAGGGTTTATAATCTAGATATTCTGTAATTGCACAGCTATTTATCCCCAACTAGCACAGGTGCTTCTTACCTGGAAGATTCCCCCTGGAGAGGGTGTCTGTATCCAAATTATAGGTATCCTGGAGCCGTAGGAGAGCTTTGGCTGCACCAGCCTGATCTTCATCATTAGGAAAATACTGGCGTTGAATAGTCATATTAGAGATGAAGCCTGAGGAGAAAAAAAAAAAAAAAGAAAAAAAGGTTGGAGAGATCAAGAAGAGGACTGGGCTTTGCTTGTCCTGGGAGTTTTACATTAAAAAACATTTAATTACAAATAAGTATCTCTACACAAATTGTTGGATGAAAACCAGCATGTCACTACAGGTTATTATTAAATCAGAGGCAGATCTTCTTACAAAACCTACCACCTTTGGGCAGGACTCTAGATAAACAGTGTGTAGGCCTATTTGTACGGGGCAGTAATATGCTAACAGTGCACCTCTCTAGATTATTCAACAGTTATTTCATGAGCGTCCTAACAGGCCAATAAACCAAACATCACACAAGACCAACCATGCGGAATTGTTTTTAAAAATAAATAAATCAATAACCAATACACAGCAAATTCAAAGATAAGGATAATTAATTTTAACAGTTTATCTGTTGTCTTAGGGCTCTTCTTCCAAAAGAATCCCTATGCAGTATCATGAGATAAGGTAGCATAAAAGGGGGGGGGAAAATGGTATCACTGTTACTACCCATGCAGAACCAACCTTAAGGCAGGATCGGTGATATTGTTCCAGTAAATGTATTGGGAACAGACAATCACTAATTTCACACATAAGTATGTTGAAAGATGCCTTATTTTAATAGAAGTTTATATGGAAAATGTGGGAGAGTCTCTCACTATTGAATAAGTTTAAGTCTAATTTTCACAATACTTTGAATCAAGTTTTTCATTCATGCAAACTAGAGTACACTTCTGAATATTAGTCCTTCAATTTAATTTTTTACTTCTGTGTTCTACTTAGGATGGTGGAGGGAAAGAATTGTCTTAGGATGGTGAAAGGGGTATAAATTAATGTAAATTAAGTGTTGTGAATCAACACAATGGAGGCCCCCCATTCACATACTAAGTCAACAGGGAGACAAGACACTGGGGGGGGGGGAAGGGGGAGGGAGAGTTTCACCTTCCTCTGTAGCATGTGGTACTGGTTGCTTGCTGGTTTGAACTAGAGAAAATGGTGAATTTTTCTGTAACTTTAAAGTCTTTAAATCAAGATTTGAGGACTTCAATAAATTAGCCAGAGGTTATGGACCTCATGCAGCGGTGGGTGGGTGAAGTTCTGTGGCCTGCAATGTGCAGGAGGTGAGACTAGACCATGATGGTCCTCTTCTAGCCCTTATAGCACGGGTGGGCAAACTATGGTCAGCGGACGGGATTGACTCCCATGGTGCCGCAGGCCCCATGCTGCTCTCAGCAGCAGCCAGCCTGACATCCCTGCGGCCCCCCAGGCACCCCACCCCCCACCAACTCCCATTGGCTGGGAACAGGGAACCACAGCCAATGGGAGCTTTGGGGGAGGTACCTGTAAGGGCAGCGCATGTGGAGCCCTTCCCTCCTCCCCCAGGGGCCACAGCGCTTCCTGGAGCAGCGTGGGGCTGGGGACAGCACAGGCACGTGGGGAGCCTGCCCTGGCCTCGGTGCACGCTGCTGCCACCCCAGAGCCCGAACCCCTCCTGCACCCCGCCCCCCAACTCCCTGGCCTAAGCCCCCTGCCTGCACTGCAACTCCCCCTGCACCCTAACCCCCTGCCCTGAGGCCCCTGCCACACCCCTCCTGCATCCCAACCCCCTTCCCTGAGCCCCCCGCTGCAGCCTGCACCCGTGCACCCCAATCCCCTGCCCTGAGCCCTGATGCACCCCACCTCCCTGCCCTAAGCCCCCTTCTGCACCCCAACTCCACTGCCCTGAGCCCCCTCATACACCCTGCACCCCTGCCCTGGGCCCCCTCCTGCACTCCGCACCCCAACCCCACATACAATTTGTATTTTGCCCTGCATACAATTATGTATTGTAAAACCCAGATGTGGCCCTCAGCCCAAAAAGTTTGCCCACCTCTGCCTTATAGTCTATGAGTAAACTGGTATGTATACTGTTCCCATTAGGAGGGTATACCTGGTATTACTGTGAGTGCTCAGCAGATAAGGTGTTAAAATACTACAATGGAATGCTTCAAAAAGTCTTAGGGTGCATCTATTGTTAACTTGCAAGGCAAAAGTAAGAGCTGGCATAGCCTAGAGGAGATTGAGTGGCTAACAGACTGCTTTTTCAGGGAGCTGAAACCCAGTTAAACACAAGCAAATTTCCCTTTTGCTGGAGGCAGAGGGGTAAACAAGGTGACTCAGTCCTGGACACCCCCAGAACCATCACAAATAGTTCACTCTGAGGAATTAGAGCTCTCTGAATTTACTCCCTTTGTCCCTGAAGTTTTGTTGTTGAGCTTTTGACCTCTTTCTGTGTAGCTCAGAGCTCATTAAACTTTTTACCAGCACCATCAGCAATTTGACGATCAGGTGATAAGTGCACTACATGTACCTACATACAGAAAAAACAGGGTCTTCTTCTAAAGAGAGACTCACAAAGTCACGGAAAACATAGAAATCCTTGTATCTTGATGCATGCAAGATACAAGTCAAATAATTCTCTCAGCAAAAGTGTTTGACCATTGTTATTTCTACTGCAGGTGCAGTACAAAAAATATGTTCCTCAAAAAACAAAGTTGTGCTTTGCTTGGCATTAGGGTGATAACGTTAATCAGAGTATTAGCTGTGTGTTGATAACTCCAAAATCTCCTCAAACTTACCATCTGACATGTCCTTCAGGACCAGATTCTCCAGTTCACCCCACTCAGTGTTAAGTCGTTTCATTAACTTGAATGCATTTACAGGATGCCCCAAGAATCCTTCTGGGTCTTTTGTAGCAGTGTCTGTCAGTTGATCTAACTTCTCTGCCCATCTATGAAACATATATATATTAGGAATAAGCTTAATACAGCATCACTTAAATATTTTCCTATGTATTGTAAAACTAATGCCGAGCTACATGACTCTCTTGTACTGGAAGCTCTTTCAGTCAA